ATTAGTCATTCTTGTGCTAAATCGTTTAAAAATGTGGGGATTTTCTAATGTGGGACAGCTCATGCTCAAATCTGGGACACTGTATTGTTACAAATAGTTACATTTTTACAAAGCAAACTTCACATAAATGTGCATACCCATGTTTGTTAAATTGATTTAGTAGGCCTGTGGTGTGTTTGCTGTCTTCAGTTTGTCTAAAAAAAATAGTAGCCCATGTGTTCATATACGGAATGTTAAATACAATTCTATAAGAAAGAAATCGTATAGCCTACTATTTAAAATAATTTATTTTAAAAATGTCAGATTTCTGGCAGCAACTATAATAATAACTATAATGAAGTCAAAAATTTAAAATTGGACTTAATAAAGATAGCAAAATAATTTCAATGTTAAAAAAAAAGAGTTAAACTTTGGAACATGGAATGCCTTTTAAACTGATTAAACTTCTATAAGCTTCTAATATTCAACTTTTTTTTTTGTTCAAAAGCGTGTGTTATGTAAATTGTAATGGTAAAAACACTTCATAACAGAAATAAGCAGTCCTGACAAGTCATGGACTCATCATGGCCCAGGATCCCATCGTCTTCTAGTCTCTAAACTCTGAATCTGGATCTTAAAACAAATAATATCGCTGCATTATAATCCCCAAAAATAATAAAATTACATGTATGTCATTTAACTTTCTTAATGCACATTTCATCAATTGAATAACATAGTATATTTGACTGTGAAAACATGCCGTCCCACTTTAGAAACATCCTTTTCTAAAGTGGGACGACAAAAATGGCTTCAAAGATTGGCAACAAAAATATTCTTAACACATTTTAACAATATTATTGCAAAATTTGATGTACAAATACATCACACATATAATTTGATAACAATTTAGAACATTGTGTTATTTAAAACAGATTTATATCCTTAACATTGATTTTGTCTAAATCCTATGTCACTGACCTTTGAGGGAACTTTCTTCCTTTTTGATGATTTTCATGGCCACATTTCTGACATAATTTCCAGAAAGTCAATTTCAATAACTTGACACTCCTGCTTGAATTCAACACCAGTCATGTTCACTTTAACGCTGTAAAAGAAGAGATAAACGCACCGAAGCTTAGGGGTCCCACATTACACTAATCCACCCAATCTTCTACACATATTTTAGATTCTTCATCTTGTTAATTACTTATTTTGTGCTGTTTTAAAAAAAAATTTAGTCATTTATCAGACACTTTTATCCAAAGTGTAAGGTCCACGTACTTGGCCCAAAGAAGATATCCAGTGGTGGATGAAGGTTTCTTGCGTGTTCGGTCTTTTCAGCTCGCAGAGTTATTCAATGTAGGTTTAACTCAAATCTGACTCCATTTTAGTATGACCTCGAATTTAGGTTGAAAGGCAAATTGGTTGTTTGTCGGTCTCTCGTTATTCTGACATTTGATTATTCTAGTTAACTCTTTACTTTATATTTACTCGTTCATTAGGAATCTATGTCGCTTAGGGTGCCTCACGGCGGCCGCTGAACTCGCCAGTTTGACCCTTAGCCAGAAGTTTATGAGTAATCTAATCAGCGGTTCTGCTAGACCCTTTGTCTAGCCCCCAATAGTTAATATAATTACGTACAACTTAATTAAAGCTGAAACAATATGCATGGTTAACGTAACTGAGTACAACTTAAACTAAGGTCAAGAGGTTAGTCAGAACTCTAGAATCTCACCTGATGCGCCCCATGCTTCATCTAATCTTGAGATCTAGTATGCACGTAACCCTGGATGCAGATTTGTGGAAACATACGCCTTCACTTAATGTACTTGAGGAAATAAGTTCAGAGTGAGTCAGAATAAATCAAATGTAACAATTTATTATCAGTCAGGTAAATATGTATTATGCCAATTATCTCCATAGCCAATTCAAAGATATCAAATCAATACAAGACATCAAATTCTCATAGACAAATCTAAGAGCAAATGAGGCATACCTGACTTTAGGAAAATACATAGTATAGAGTGTGTGGACACATTCCATACTACAGGCTTTCTGGCTACAGAATCGCCCCGACCCTTTTGCTGCAATCCTTTAAATACAAAACCAAGATCAAACACCCCCAAATGGAGGCATGTACTAACAATTGGTATCTGGGTGGCTAGATTACACCTCAATGGGAACAGAAGGTAATTTGTGTGAAAGACCTGGGAGTAGTCTGCTTTTGTAAGATTAAGACCATTGTACCACTCGCCCTAAGACTATTCAAATGATACCAAACGCGAGTTTCTTTTATCCTTACAAAAGCGACTTACAAATGAGGACAACAGAAGCAATCAATTGTAGTATTAATACAACTAAAAACAGATCCAAAACTAAAAGCTAAAACTTTTAAAATACTACTTATACACATTTTAAAAATAAAGAAATTCAATACAACAAAATTTCAAAACTTAACATTTAAACGAAAAACAAAAAATAAAGCTAAAAACAATTCAAAATAATAAAAAACAAAAGGTGTAAGAGTATAATAATGATTCTAACATAACTCCAAAGATACAACTACATATGTGTATGTACAACCCCCCCCACACACACACACACATATATATATATACACATTTATAAATTAAATATATATATATATATATTATTTCATGTTTGCTGAAGTATTAAAATAACTCAAATTAAATAAAACTGAAACTTAATAAAATACAGATACAGACATAATAAATTCAGTAATTAATTATATTACATAATTTAACTAAAATTTAAATAAATAACAAATACAAATAATACAAATCAAAGTACGTTAGTTTATCAGTAATCCTAAAAAATAACACTGAGCCAAACACACATGCTAAAAAACAACAACTTACTGACACACAGGGGCGGATTTAGTGATTTGGGGGCCCCAGGCAAAATACAGGAATGGGGCCCTATACAATTTCACACATCTACAACCTTGAGGTTTCTTTCACTGTTGCTCGCTGCTGCACGACTGTGTCGAATAGTTGTGTCCAATCTTTTCGATTTTTCATGTATATGTTATAAATAAATGATTTCTTTAATGTTGTAAATCCCTTGTTCATATTTAAACAGGTTATAATAGTATTAGAGTAGTTTGGACACTAGGTGGTGCGTCTAATTCTAAACTTTAAAATATACATTTATTTATTTATTTTTATTGCACATTTAAATTAAACTGAAGGAAATTATATATTTACATGCTTAAGGATTATTTCAACCAAACATGAAGTGTGCCTGTGTGGAAAGTGTCCTTCTTGGGTCTTTCACAAAAACGAGTGAGCGCCATTTAAAAAAATTAAAATAGGCCCTATATAATATGCACTGTTGCTTAGTATTAAAATTATAGCTTCAGATGCATGATATTTGTAGGGCCCTATGAAATCCGTTTTATTTTGTCCAAAATCTTTTTGTCCGTTTTCATTTTTCTAGATCCATTTTTTCTTTTCTTTTTTTTTCTTTTTAAATTTTCTGGATGATTATATAAAATTTTAACAAAAAACATGTCTAATTAATTAAAATCATGAAACTTGTTAAATTTAACAGCAATTTAGGCCTATTAAAAGTTTAACAAAAATTACATTCTTAGGGCCCAAATTCTGCGCTTTCCATTTTAAATTTCCTGTATTCCATTTTAATGGTTTAATCAAAAACATATCTAATTAATTGAATTCATAAAAACAACTTAATTTATTAATTTGTATACAATAACAGGGCCCTATGAAATTAAAATTATTTTTTTTTAAATTTTGTGTTGTGTATTTTCATTTTTCTGGTAATCAAATGAAGGCAAAAACATTAATCTATCTTTTATTCCAATGGAAATTAAACAAACCCTTTAATGTTTGTACATTCAAAATGCTACACAACAGAAGTTTACTGTGTAACGAGCAATGCCACGGAATTCGTCAAATATTGAATGAATAAATCAAATGCAATTCAGTGCACTTCAATCAAACCGCGATATGGACTAGTGCATGTGAATATTAAATGGCAAAAATACTATTTAGCTACTACAGACGACAACCGCGAGCGTTGCAGGTGCACCGTTCATTCCGCGTTACACAGTAAACTCCGTTTTTATTCATAGATTCCGTCCCCATTTTCTACATCGCCCTACTTTTGCTAAGAAGCACGTTCAACGCGGACACACAGACGGCTGTCGTGGTAATGAACACCAGAGCAACCACTTGTGCGTCCGCACTGAACGCGCATCTCGCATATAAAAAGCATTTTAGGGGGCCCTTGGCTTTAGGGGGCCCTTGGCTTTCGCCTACCTTTGCCTAATGGTTAAGTCCGCCTCTGCTGACACATAGTAAGAAATGGTTATAAAAACTCAAACAGAAATTAAACAAGTAGAGGAGAAATAAAAAGCGATACTTATTTTTCTTTGTTTTTAGCACTTTTTGTGTGAAATCATATTTATTTTGTCCATCAAAAGTGTGGCTTCACTTTAATTGAGCGTGAGCGGCACAGCAAGAGTAGACTGCTCGCGTGACGCTCGTGCTCCACTTGTGAAACTCACGCCGCTCGCGCTTGCGGTAACCGGCCAAACCGGTCCAAAGGCGGAGACTACAGCTGATGTTGAGGGCGGGTGGTTTACATATTGTGTGGCCTCAGTGACAGTCACATCGCGCCGGTATTAGAAACTTGTGT